GCATACATACGAAGTCGATGAAAAATTTTTGAGATAAAGAAATAGCTCTTAAATATTTTGGTTGATTAACTAAATATATGCAAATTTCAGTATCAATAAATATGTTAATTTTGGTTGATTACTAAATTTATTTATTAATCATTCCATCAATTACAAATACTACATATGGCATTTACATTATGATGCCATTACTAAAGAATTTCAAAAAATATCATTAATATAATTTACTTCATTNACTTGAGACCAACGTCGCTTCCAATATTAGAAAATCTACTCGCTCTTCTCCTAAACAAAGTAGCACCATACACAATAGTTGCTATTTGTATATAATATAATAGTAAATATATATTTGATGCATGAAAATATAATATAATAAGAAATATAGATAGCACAATATAGATACATGAAAATATAAAAAATAGCACCATACACAATATATATACATGAAAATATAATATAATAGGATATATATTTCCTATATACTATCCAATGGATATACTATACTAAAGTGTTAATTTGATGTAGTTTTTAGTAGAAAATTCAGTTAATTTTAATTCTGATTAGTGTGGCGGTCGAATCTCACAATCACGATCTAAGTAATTCTTCGGGGTTTGTAAAGTTCTGCGGGAAGCAACCAAACGCAAAGATCTCAAAAGAGGTTTTTATTAAGCTATTAGAAAGCTGTTTCAGAGTACAAAAGTTTGTCTAATGAATTTTCGATCCCCTTTTTGGGTGATAATGAGGGACTATATATAGTACTAAGTAAAATGGACCAGCTAATAAATGGACCTGACCCATTAAGCAATATATTAAAATTAGGCCCATTAATCTATTAAGCCCATTTTGCTTATGGGCTTAATATCATTTTGGACCCAGATTCAGACTAGGCCTTTGTAGACTTGCTTTGATCTCGTCAAGACGTTGTGGAGTTGATCTCGTCGCCATATCGATCTCATAGGAGTGAAATCCGACCCCCACAGTTAGCCCCCCAGCTTGGCAGTATCGAGTTATGATGGTGCCGAGGTAAAAGTTGTCGAAGTCTGAGATCGTTATATTGGGCTGCAAAGTCTTGTCATCGAACTCGGGAAGTTTCCGTTATTCCGCGTTGAGCCGATGTTCGCGTGTTTTCCTGGACTTGCCTTCTTTTTCTTTGTCTTAAAAGACTGTGGAGGTTGATGGCCTTTTGCGTTAGTGGGCCTTGAAGCCTGTTGGATGACTTTTTGGATTTTTTCCAAAAACACAGTGATTTTAGGAAAATCCTTCAAGTATAAATAAGTCTCCTTCCTTGGTATTATTTTTTGCCGGATCACTTTCTTTCCTAAGCAAAAGGTAAAAAACCTCTTCCATCTTCTACTCTATTATT